GCTGTTAGACTGTTAAGATTGAAAATGTGTCCTCCAGATTGAAGTCCAGGCATATGATAAACAAAATTAAATCAAAACCAGTTCATCTTTTTGGTGCTGGGAATCAAACCCAGGATCTTATGCATGCTAGGCATAAATTCTGTTCCTCAACTATGTCAGCCCCCCATACTTTATTTTAAACTACTGTTAGGCTTTGAATAAAAGCTACCAAGTTAGTTCAGAGTTCCCATGCCTTCCGTTAATGTTAACACCTTATATAACCCATAGAGCAGTTATCTAAACCAGGAACTTTGCATTGGCCCTTCTTATGCAAATAATTGCTCCAGTTTTCCCACTGTTGTCTTTTTCCTGTTCCCAAGTCCTCCTCATACTCCCACATTGTATTTGTCATTCCTGCTTAGTCTTTTCCTATTTGTAGCAGCCCTTCAGTTTTTCCTGATCAGAATTCTTAAATGTCTTACTGCTGGTGGGGCTGGGGATTTAGCTCAGCGGCAAAAGTGCCTGCCTGGCAAGCGCAAGGTCGTGAGTTCGGTTCCCGGTACCAGAGAAAAACCAAAAAAAAAAAAACAAAAACAAATGTCTTACTGCTGGTGAAGTTCATGATGGTGTCTGCTGGGTATCTCCCCCCTAAAATAATAACTCTTCACTTCTGTAGTGAGAAAATATCTTGGGGAAGATACCTTGAAAGTGTGGTAAGAACAAGACTTATGTCACTTCGTTCATTTAAGTATAAGTCTTTGATGAAGGTTTGTGGACATAGATTTAAAATCTTTACAGTTTATGAATCATGAAGTTTAAGATTGCCATTTTACCTTTTCTTCCAGGCCTTTGAGTGACTTATCAGTAGCCTACACATGGTAATTAGATGCTATTAAGGCCTATTTCAATTCAGTGTTCATTAGAACTGGAACTATGTTAGTTTGCCTTCCCAGGGTAGAGGGTGTCTGTACGGCGCCACTCCTATGCAAGGAAACATGACTTCCCCAATAATAGGACATTTTCCTGCCGTTGGGAAGGTGCTCTGTACAGCAGGCACTTTCACAAACCCTGGCGTCAGATTTGATTCCGTGGCAATATATTCTGGCTTTGCAGTAAAAGGACTACTTTGTCTTGGGTGGCTTTGTGAAGGGGGATGGGGTATAGGTGGTCCCTGGAGTTGTGTCTCTTGTCTCTTGAAATGATGATTAAAGGACCTAATTTATCATAGGTTCAAATTTAGATTTATTATATTTACATAATTTATGGTTTAAGCCATTTCAGGGTTTCAACCAAGTTACTAGAAGCACTTTTTACCAAGTTAAATTTCTGTCCTTGGATAGCTAAACTCTCTTCCCTGAGCCAAATTAATAAAATGGAATTTCTTATTAAGAATGAATTATTAAGTAAAGTAGAAGTACTGGCTAGAAAAGCAATTGATGCAATTTGTTTTCAAAGCTTTAAAAGCGCTGCAGCATGCATAGATCACAAGGACTGGCTTAAGTGCCAACGTGTGGGACATTAATTTTCTTTCACAAAGGATTCCAGATTCACAGGATATCAGAAGTGCTGACTTGGCAGAGAAACCCCATTTGTAACATGTTAGATTAGGAAACATTGATTTATATGTTGATGTAATGGATCAAGGTGCAGTCTGTGCTTAAGAAAATGGAGAGTACATTAAATATTTTCTAAGCGAGTAAGTACAGACATTATAGAAAAAAATCATCCTATGCTACTCTAGGTAAGATAGGGGTATGTTTGATTAGTCAATTCCTAGACATGGTCCACAGAGGCTTTTTATGTTTCAGATGATACCTTCCTGAGAGTCTCTCATGACCACAAGGATTAATCTTTCTGAACTCAGAAGTGAATCACTATAGCCTATTAGCTGTCTGGATTGATTCCAGTTACTCCTTTTTCTTGGTGGTAACTGATAGGATCTGTTGCTACATAGCTCCTCTTCCTGTTGCTTTAACCTCTGGTATTTTAGCTTCTCTTTAGGGAAGGTAACACTGACCATCTCAGCACAGAGATCAAGTGCACTTATCACTCACATGTTGACCTCTGTGGTTGACCCATACACTGAATACTTGCACAGTTGGAACTCTTGTGGTCTTTCAGCCAACAACCATAATGAGTAACATGTGGAACGTCATCTTTGGTGCGGATAAATGGCTGCCTGCACTAAAATTGACCACTTTATGGTTGGGGGTTGGGGTTGGGTGAGCTCTCATAACTAATTGACACTGTTTTTTCTTTTTTTCCCCCCATAATAATTTTTTGAACTTAAGGGGTAAATATTCTTCTCCCCTCCGTCTTCTGAAAGATTAGATGCCACACTTAAATCCTGTTTAATAGTTGCCTTTAATGTTAAAGTACAAGACTAGAAAGAATTAGGAAACATTACTCAGAATCTTTCAGATGTAACTATGATAGTTCAGTGAAGTATTATTATAAATAAATGTGTATTCCTTTCTCTAGATACCTTTAAATGTTTTTCCTTCTTTGGAGGGTGCAGGAATTCACATCAGTTTGTAGCCTCATAAACAAGTTTTATTAAAGGAAGGCATAGGACTTTCTCTTTCAGTATGTGATAATTCATCACAAAATTTTAGTTAATAAAGGTGTCAATTGTTTATTGAAAAATAGAGATGTTTTTCAGCCTTAATAGGTCTTGGTAACATTTAATTCCAAATTAGCTTTCTCCCAGTGATCTAACAAGTGTTTGTCTTTCCTTGTCTTAAGCTAATGGAAAGCAGGCTGATTTTAATAAGCTACATTCTATTTAGTTGTATTTCTTACTGTGCCTAATGTATAGATTGAACTTGGTCATAGCAAAAAGCATGTACAGTATCAAGTTTAGTACTTTGCAGTGTCAGGCATCCACTGGAGTCTTGGGATGCATCCCATGGGTAAAGATGAGGACTATAGTAACTAGTTGCATAGATTCTTGTGCTCTTCTAGGGCCCAATACTTTGCAGAAACCTTACTGTCATGATTCCTAAATGCTGCTACTTACCTATAACTTTGAGCTATTAATAGTTAAGAGCTAGTAACAAAGCAAGATGATACTAACCAAAGAAAGACTCTATGAAATAGTTCATTATTTTTACCCAACACAAGATAAAAGTGTTCATGAAATTCCCATCACACCCTTTTTACAAAAGGAGGGAATGTGTCTTTCTGTGTTTTCCAGGTTGGGTTTGAACTCATGGGCTCAAACAATCCTTCAGTATAGCACAGACTAAAGGCATGTCACCTGGTTCATGAAATCTCTTTCAGTATTCTGTTCCATGAATGATGCCACTGTATATTGAGTAATGCGAGCTGTGTTAGTCAGCTTTGTGTTACTGTAACAAAATACCTAAGATAATGAACTTTCAGAAAGGAAAAGGAAGCTGCTCCCTGTTGATGCACACCTGTAATCTCAGAGGTTAGGGAAGTTTGAGTCCTTCCCGGGCAATTTAGCAAGACTGTAAAAAACATTAAAAAAGGGCTGGGAGTGTAGGTCAGTGGTAGAGCTGATCAAATCCTGTTCCAGCATTAGATCAAACCCTAGGTTTGATCCTGAAGTATGAAAGAAAAAAAAGAAAGAAGGGATGAGACAGGTATAGTGGCGACATACCTATAATCCCAGCATTTGGAATCAGACAGGAAGATCATGAGTTTGAGACTAACCTGGACAACATACAAGACCCTGTTTTTGTTTGTTTTTTAAAGGAAAAGATGATTTTGGCTCACAGGTTCAAAAGTCTCCATCCATGGCGTCCATGATTGGCCTTGGTGTTTGGGGATCTGTTGTAAGGCAGAATATCATGGTGAAAGAGCATGCAGAAACTGCTGCTCACCTCTTGGCCCCAGTGATCTTGCATAGGGGTCCATCTCCTAAGTGCTGGCAGAACTATGGCACACATGCTGCAGTGGCTGTTTGTTACCCTTAAGAGGTTCACTGTCACTGTCCTACTGTTCCATTGCCCCCCAGTCATATCAGCTGGTGACTGTCTTTGTGGGTGGGCCTTGGGACATTGAAGGTCCAAACCAAGCTTGACCATCATTCTCTTTCTCATTGTCCATTAATCAATCTGTCCCTATGTCTTACCATTTTACTCTGTGATTTCGTGTATTTCTGTTATCATACCACCTCAGTGCAAGCACTGTTATTCTCTTGCACTGTGGATAGAGCCATTTTCTTGGATATGTTTTTTTTTTTTTTTTTTTCAGTTCATTTTTTACCCTGGAGCCAGAATAAGCATCATAGGTGCATTTTAAAAATAGTAGCTTTGAGCTTAAAAATGTCTCAGCATTTCCACTGATAAAGACTGAAATCCTTTCAGCGTATACTTTCTGTAGACCTGTTTCAGCATTCCTCTCCACTCTTGTCTCCATTCTCCATGTGAGGTGCCCAAAGTTCCTTGATCATTTCCCTATCTAAGCCTATGTCAGATTCCTTTTTCATATATTGTCTTCGAGGATGTGATTATACATTTGTTATTATACATTTTTGTGTGAATCTTGACTCGTGCATTAGAAGGGGAACCTCGAGAGAGTGGGACTATGACTTTATGCTCACTTGTCTTAACTGTTTATTTAGCATATTGCTTTTGCAAAATAGTTCTTTAATAAAGATTTTTTTGTTGTATAAGTGAGATAAGTGAAATATTGGAACATTAGCCATTCTTTATTTTTTTTTAAATTTTTTTTAGCCATTCTTTAGTTTTATGATTTGGTATATGTCAGAAGTTGTAAATTGCTTGCATCAGGACAGACTATAGTTACATTTTAAATTCTCAATGTAGAAGTATCCCTGGTGGGGTTTGGAAGCTAGATTTCCCATTGACTTTTCCCTTTGATCATGGTGTTGCCCAAAGGTCACTTTAAAATTCTGTCCTACCTCCTGGGAGAAGGATTTTTAAAAATAAAAACAGTGAATAATGAAGAGTACCAAAAGATCAGTTCTATCAGAAACCACTGCATATGTGTTTTTGCCAGCCTTTTAGGAATAAACCTTTTTGTATTCTTTGGTAGGCTCTTGCAGCCAATGCTGGAACAGGATTTGCTGTTGCTGAGCCTCAAATTGCAATGTTTTGTGGGAAGTTAAATATGCATGTGAACATTCAGACTGGGAAGTGGGAACCCGACCCAACAGGCACCAAGAGCTGCTTTGGAACAAAAGAAGAGGTTCTTCAGTACTGTCAGGAGGTAAGATTATTGTCAGGAAGTTAAAAAACTGTTGTTTTGGTTTTTTTTTGTTTTTTAACTGGGATAGGGTTGATTCTCTTTACTATAGAAATAGATACTGCATTCTTTTGACCCAAGAATCAAGATGGTCATAACTGGAGCCCTAGGTCTTCCGTTTCTAAGTGTCTAGTGTGTTTGAGATCTTGCCAAGCTTTACCTGTGTGTGGCTGTGAGCAAGTGCTATAAAAGCATAAGATGTTTTAATTTCTTATCGAGGGCCAGGGATAATTTCATTAATAGACTTTCTTTGTGTTATTTTTTCCCCTAAGAACTTGGAGATTTGTGCATGCCCTATAAGCAAACATAATACTTAACTGGATTTGTTTTGAGTTGAAGGCTTTCTGCTTTTGTTCTTAAATGCAGATTCATTCTTTGATGAGAATAGATGGAAGCAGTAGTAAATCTAACCTCTTAGTTAAAAAAAAAAAAGTAAGAGGATCTTTTGCTTGATAACTTCATTTGGTGCAAGGAGTAGTGGAGTAGAACTTAGATTATGTAGGATGAGGTGCAGGATGAGTAAGTGTGGGTCCTTTTTCTTGCTTGAACGTTCATGCCCATCTGCAGGTAGATTTATCATATGTGTTTGTTTTCTTCTCCTTAACAGATGTATCCTGAGCTGCAGATCACCAACGTGATGGAAGCAAATCAGCCCGTCAGTGTCGACAACTGGTGCCGTAGGGACAAAAAACAATGCAAAAATCACATTGTTATACCTTTCAAGTGTCTTGGTGAGTGTTTGTGGTAACTTCAGGAAGTCTTTCCCTCCCCTCCTTAAATACAATTTTCTCTTGGCTCACAGTGATGTATCTGCATCCGTTAAGATGAATTTATTGGGGGGGTTCTCTATGGGTATTTAGTGCTTTCTGAATATGGTTTAGACTTGCAAAGTCAGTGGTTGACTGATTCTCTTGATTACTAACTTAGCCTCTTGTCTTGTGAATGTCTTGTCTCTGGAGGACCAGCTCTTTCTGTGGTACTGAATAAACACATTGCCAGCAGAGCCATCCATCTTTGCCTTTACATTAGCAGTTTGAAATTAATGATTTACAGCAGCAGTAGAGAGGGATACTAAAGAAAGCAGCCAAAGGAAGGAAGAGTCTTCTTCATCTGACATACATGTGCAGTGTTAATCATGCCGTACTTCTGGTTGTGTTCAGGAGGAAAAGTGACTTGGATAAGGCTGTGGGCACGTGCCAGGGCCAGATGCTGTGGGACTTGCCACTCCTAAGGGCTTGGAGTTTATCTTAGTGCTCATGACTGCATTACTGGTGTTACTATTCAGAGCCAACTTGAGTAAAGCTGTGACAGTATTACTGGGAAACAGTTGTTTAGTGAATGTAGTCATCCTAACTTGTTTATCACCTGACACATCTGAATTATATTCACATATCTAGAGTCTGGGTGATTCGGGAACACATTTGGTCACAGATGCTTGAAAGGGTAAAACAATCAATTTCAGATTGTCTATGATAGCATTAACATACATATGACATTAACATAGATACCCTGAGTAGTTTTGTAGATACATCTAATTTGAGCCATTACTTTACCTTTTTCTCTTCTTGCCCTTCATTAATACCTTAAACCACAGACAGCAGCAAAATGAGATATGTTACTTTCTTAGTCTTATGTGGCAAGGAAGAATGTTCACATAAAAAGAAGGAGCAGCACCTGAAGAACAGTAATTTTTTTTTTTGTTTTTGTTTTTGTTTTTCTCCGGTACTGGGAACCGAACTCACGACCTTGCGCTTGCCAGGCAGGCGCTTTTGCCGCTGAGCTAAATCCCCAGCCCCAGAACAGTAATTTAAAACGTGGAGCAATTAACTTGCTTTGATACCATTCAGAAGGGGAAAAAGGGACACTGTGTGCTTAACACCATTTACTTTAAAGTGGAGCATTCACAGTCGTGTGGAATTTGTTCAAAACTTTGTGTGATGTGTTATAAAGATGCTCTTCCCTTCCATTTGCCCAAGAATTCTCTGCCTGTGAGATTTCATTCATTGTCTATAAAATTCTCTGTTAAGTGAAACAAAAGATTGTTTTTGAATATTTTTAGACCACAGAAAGAATTTGTAATTGTTTCTATTTCTGCATTATTCTCCCTGGAGACCTTACAGCCTTATCTTCCTTGCAAGATTACTGTGTTAGATATCAGAGTGAGACCTGGACCTGGGAAACCACTCTAATTCTTCTTAGCCTGTCTCCCCTCATCCATTTGGTTTTCAAGTGGCCCGATTTTTACCTCTTCAATACGGCTTATATTCATGATCCCCAAACTGCACCGAGGCACCCAAGGTACACACAGACCCAAAGGACATTGTGTGATGGGTATTTGTCAGATGTTCTACAACCTCTACCTGGAGGTTGTTCTCAGTTTCCACATTTTGTACCCATTAATGACCTCATCTTTGTCAAGTACTGTTTGCAGTGGTTCCTGTGATAGACGCCACGAAGTAGGCAGCTGATGATGCCTTAACCATATGCATGTTGTCAGGCCCAAGGGCCTTTTCCATCCTTGTCAAGAAGAGTGCTAGCCGTCCCTCCTTTCAGGAACACGGTTCCTGTGAAAGAAAGCAAGTATGCTATAAAAGTCACTGTAAAAGAAGAAGTGAAGGTAATAGTGTTGGGTCTGGTTGCAGTGTAGGAGTCGTGCAGTACCCAAATCACACTAAGATGGTAGGACACTAATACTTAATAAGTTACACCAAGCTACTACATTACTGTTAAATACTCTTTTGGCCTAGTATTGTTGCAAAAAGAGAAAAATTAAGACACTGAGGGTATTGAGTTGAAAAAAATTTGGGAACCTGTGGCTTATGTGCTCCCCTGTCAGATTCCCACTGTTGTACTTCAGCATTTTGTTATAGTTTGGACTGTAATGACAGGTTTGTCAAGATATAATTTATACTCTTTCATGTTCTTACACCAGGGAGACAATATGATGTTTATACATGTGGGTCTGATTTGTTTCACTTATGAGTATTGTCTCTAGTTGCATCCATTTACCTGTAAAAGCCTTGAGTTTGTCTTTTTTTATAGCTGAGTAATACTCCATTGTATAGACATACCACATCTGTTTTACCCATTGCTCAGTTGATAGGCAAATAAAACCCAAAATGTACAATAGATAATAAGAAAGGGAAAGAAATTGCTCAAAGGAAGGAACAACTGGGATGAAGGAAAGACGAAAAAGAAAGTACTAAGGCATTTTTTATATTTATATATATATGTATATATGGATTGATGGCATAACTGTACTGTTGGTGTCTGCTGGTTTGTTGTGAGGAACAGTTAATGATTAAAAGTTTTTTTTTTTTTTTTTTTTGACCAATTTTGCATGCTTGTATCTGGTAATCTGAGCAACTTATGTGACGACAGCAATTTGCAGTATAATATACGTTGGTGAATTCCTACAATCCTGCCTAGTAACACTATGTATGGTCTCTAATGTTCTTTCAAATTATTATTTTCTTATTCCCTTTAATGATTTGATCAATCTTCTATTCTTACATCTGGTAATCTGAGCAACTTTGTTGAAGATAACAATATGTAATAGAACAACCACTGTTAATCTCTTAAAAAAAATCACACTAAGAATAAAAAAAGATATAATTTATATACTGTACAATTTGCCCATTTTAAAGTATGCATTTTAATGATGACTTATAGTATATTCATTTAGTTATGCAGCATGGATGAATCTTTTTTTTTTTTTTTGGAGACAAGTTCCACTGAGTAGTTCAGGCTGGCCTTAAACTTACTCACTGTGTATGACAAGCTGGCCTCAAACTCACTGTGGTCCTTTTGCCTTAGCCTCACGAGTGCTGGGATTACAGCTGTGCACCCCTACACCTGGTGGATGATTCTTTTAACATACAAACTAAACTAGAAATTGGTTAAGTAAAAAGCAAGAGACCTGTGCAACTGATTGACTGGGAGTAATCACAGTGCGTCCTTTTACAGGTTTTAAAGTGAGTACTCCATGATGGAGTAGGAGATGGTGTTACCGATGGCTTTATCCCTGAAACCTCATTTAAGATACTGCTGTTTAGCTAGGTGTGTTGATACATGCGTATAATCTCAGCACTCTGGAAGGCTGAGGAAGGAAGATTGCAAATTTACCCTAGCTTTGGCAACTTACTGACTTATAAGACCTGTCTCAAAAAAAAGAGTGGCTGGTGTGGGGAAGGCTGGGCATGGTGGCACACACCTATAATTCCAGCACTCAGGAGGCTGAGGTAGGATCATGGTGAATTCAAGGCCACTCTGAGCTTCATACCAAGTTCATGTCATAAAAAGGAAAAGAGGGGCAGCCTACTCGGGTCCCCTTCTGTCTCTCTCTCAGACAGAAGCTTTCTTTCCCCCAATAAATATATTCTACTTTTGAAAAAAGAGAAAGCCAGACCTTATTGCTTAAGCTATCTTCTCCACCTGGGTACAGCCACCAGTGCTCCATAAACGACATGATGTTCTTGTTTGCAGCTGGATGACATGCTTGTGGTAGGTTTACTTATACATGTGGCTATTGGTTTTGGGGGCTTCTGCCAAGTGGGCTTCCCCAGATTTCTGAAAGGAATTTCAGCAGCTCTGAAAAAGTTTTAATGCTGGAAGGCTGCCATGCATCATGGCCTGCTGGAGTAAGGTGGAATGAAAGAAAAACCCAGTCTCAGGGAATGCGTGGAGGGTGTAAATGAATCATGAATGCCTCTTATCTGAAATCCTATAGGTTAGGTTTTGCTATGTTTCCCTATACATTAAGCAGTAAAAACAGTATAGCTTTATGTTTATGCAGTAACTTAGAATTATTGCCATTATGTTTTCCTTCAACTGGCTAAACTGAGGATTGTTGCAGATTTGGATAGAATTTTTTTTTTTTGATAGAACTTTTGACCAAACAATTCTCAGTGTTCTATAAAGGTAATACTGATCTGCCTATATAAGTTTTCCCCAGAAGCTTCTGATGAGTAAGTGTAGCAGGGGCAAAAAGTAGCAAATGGTACAATGGATGCTGGGATTAAAATGTGTTTTCTCTTTTTGTTTTCTTTTTAGAAAAGAGTTTACAGTGGAACCTTGGTTCATAAACTTAAGTCTTTCCACAGTTCTGGTTGCAAACAGAATAGAATGAGAACTGAATCAAATTCAGTGCTTAGGTTAAATGTTGATCTTATGGGGAAATTTGATGCAGTTTTTGTCCAGTTTGCAACTAGAATCATGGAATTAAATTCATGCCAGGTGTGGTGACACACACCTGTAATCCAAGCACTTGCGAGGCTGAGGCAGGAGGATCACCTCCAGTTCAAAGTCAACCTGAACTACATGGAGAGACCATCTTAAAATCAGTCAGTCTTTATAGTTATATCGTTTGCTTTATTTAAAGCTAGTTACTCAAGAGATTAAATATTAACATAAGTAGTTAGAACTACAATTACACATAGTACCTACTGTATCAGTTTGTGCTCTTAGCTTTTCAAAGGTTGCATAGATTAGGTCATTTAATCTTAACAGTGACAAGATAAGGAAACTGAGTTACAGAAAGGTTAAATAATTTGGTGGAGATCACTCTACTGATAAATAACAGTAGTGAAACTGAACTGTGGTATTTAATACTATATAAGCAGCCCCTTATGTTATGCTTAGGTTGCTTTTTGTCATAAATTAACAAAATGCTTGGTTAATAAAAAATATAAAACAGTTCGTAAGTTGTTTTATGTCAGAATTTAAGTAGTTTCTTTTTTTTTTTTGGTTTTTCTCCGGTACCAGGAACCAAACTCACGACCTTGTGCTTGCCAGGCAGGCGCTTTTGCTGCTGAGCTAAATCCCCAGCCCTAAGTAGTTTCTATTTAGATCAAGTAGTAGGGTTTTTCCCAGTAGAAGAGTTTTGTTTTGTTTTTCTCTCTTTTTATTAATTAAAAATTTTTAAACACTGCTTGTAAGTTAGGTTGATTGGTAAGGTCTGTATACAGGTCGGTATGCACTCCCCTAGGACCTTTGGGGTCTTCTATAACTGTACAGCCAGGGTGGCTGTACACAAACTTTCTAGCAACTAAGCCCTGAGGCCTTAGTTGACTTTTTCTCCTGCCTCCCTTTTGCCCTGTCCTTACCTCACGTTTGCTGCCAGCCTTTCTCCCCCTGCCCCACCTATCGCATCTCTTCCTGAGCGGAGCGTACAGCCCTGCCTCTGTTTTCCCATCAGCACCCATTGTGGAGAGTAGGACCGATGATCAGTATCACCTGGGAAGGAAATCCTGAGTTTGCCCTCCCTGTAGGACCCAGTGATACAGACACTTTTTGTTACAACAGACAGGGAGATAGTAATGCCCATGAACCCACTTGTCCCTGTTGCCCGGCCGTATCACAGTCATAATTTAGGAGCCATTCACACTTCATCTGTCGTCCCAGATTCCACTCACGCTGATGATCTGCACACAAATCAGATCCCCTCACCCCTGTAAGCAAACAGCTCTGTGTATTCCTCTGCCCCCATCTTAGTTTTGAATTTTTAGAACTAAATGAAAAGTCATTGTGAAAATGCCTCTATAGCCTCTTCCTATATTCTTCAGTTTGCCTGATTCATCTGTGTGTGGGATAGGTACCTTTCTTTTGTTTGCTAAAGCATTTGAAAGAGAGTTAAGATGTTTTAATATTTCCATTCTAAATACTTAAACTTGTTTCTTCTCCTAAGAGTAGGGACCGTTTTCTTATTTAATGACAGTATAATCACACTTAAGTACTTTTCCTAAGTGTTTAAATAATACCCTTTATGGCTTCCTTTAAAAAAAAAAAATCACATATTACATTCAATCTAGAAGAGTTCCTTAGTCTTTATTTTGGTCTTTAATGACAGAATTTTTTAGGAGTCCAGACTATTACTTTTTAAGTCTTGTGTAACAGTATTCCTGAATTTGTATTTGTTTTATTGTTTTGATTAGATTTAAATGATAAATTTTGGTGTAAATGTTGTATAGGTGATAATTGCCATGCTCTTCTTAGGATATCTGTCACACATGCCAGCTTGTACATTATCTGAGATGCGAAATTGGTCACCTGGTTAGTTTCCCTTTGTAGGTACCTTTGCCCTTTGTAATGGATCACACATTGATGATTCTTACATGAATCAGTTGTGATAGAGATTGGTCTAAAGAACCAGTCATCTGTACCTCAGTAGGACACCTGGTCTCAGTTTTCTGAGCATTTTGTTATTAGAAGAGCTGTGGGCCAACACAGGGAAGTAGGAGGTGAGGAATGTTGCCCATGTGAACCCAGAGGTCACAGGAACAGCTATGTGTGGGGTGGGGGTGGGGGCCATTTGTGTCCCTAGTGCTGTGGTGCTGAAACCCTGCAGTGTGCCTGCAAGGGATTGTGGTCAAGAAAACATTGTTTCTGACGTTGAGGCCCTAATGGAATAGTGATTTCTGGTAGTATCCACATGTGCTGATGTACATAAGATCCTGCTCCTGTATACACCTAGCTAGATAACTGCAGTGAAGTTTTTTTTCACCTTGAGTCATAATCAGATTTGCTTGACGGATTTTCTTTTTTCCAGTGGGTGAATTTGTAAGTGATGTTCTGCTAGTTCCAGAAAAGTGCCAGTTTTTCCACAGAGAAAGGATGGAAGTATGCGAGAATCATCAGCACTGGCACACTGAAGTCAAAGAGGTAAGAGAACAGACAGGAAGAGTTTCAGCGTGGTTCCATTTGTTAGAAGACGAAGTACCATTGGTGTCCAAATCTCACCATAATTTTCAGTTATTTTCTTTAATTACTTATACCTAATAAATTAAAAGTGTTGGATAGAGAAATACATGTTTTTGTAGGGAAGAAGAGCACAGACAGTCCAGCACCTAAAACTGAAACAATAATGGGACTAAAGATACTGCTCAATTATAGAGCACCTGCCTAAAGCCCCTGGATTCTATTTTCAGCACCAAGTAAGAAAAATAATGGGGTTTCCTTCTTTATTTAGGCTTCGATGCAGCTCTGTAGTAGAGCTGCCACACATGTTCAAGGCCCAGAGTTTGATTTATAGCAAACCACCCCCACCCACCCAGCAAAAAAGGGTATTAAAAGCTGTTGAACAAGGGTACTGTATGCTGTTGGCAGGGCTCCCCAGGAGGTACCCTGAAGGACTGTGGAGAAATAGCCAACTGTAGAAAGTCTAGATCTGGACATGTGCACAGGCAGAATCAGATGCTGTTTCACTCTTCGAGTGGAGAGGAGCATCTGCTCTTGTAGTTAGGCTGGTTCACCAGTCAGTAGTCTTTTTCTTTGGTCAGAGTTGGAAGTAGCGCCTATACCAGCAGTAATAGAAACTAACATTGATCATCTTTAACTGTTGTTATAAGGAAAACTCCCTTTACCTTAATTTTTTTTTTTCAAATGACCTGTTGATGTTTTGACCTCACAAGATACTACAAATTAAGTAAAATTAACAAATCTTAAGATAACAGGATTGCCGTTCTTCAGCAGAGAAGTTTTGTGTCTGTGAAAGCATTATGTAATGATTTAATAAGGTTCCTTTTGGATGAAGCTAGGGATCAGGAGGTCTTTGTGAGATATGTTTTGATGTGGCCTGTGAATTTCTTTTAGGCGTGTTTGACTCAGGGAATGACCTTGTATAGTTACGGCATGCTGCTGCCTTGTGGGGTAGACCAGTTCCATGGCACTGAATATGTATGCTGCCCTCCAACAAAGATTAGTGACTCTAGTGACTCTCTTGTGTCAAAAGAAGAGCAAGAAGAGGATGAGCATGAGGATGATGATGATGACAATGAGGACGAAGAAGACTATGATATTTATAAAAGGTAACTCAGCCAGAGCACTGAAGTCACTTTGCTTGTTTGGCTGTTGGCTGTTGGACCCTCACTTCTGGATAAGGTGGGAGTTGCTTTCTTATGGTGAACTTGATTCAGCCTGCATTTCATATTAGCCATAGCCAATCACAGAAGTACCTGTGACTTTTGCCTTTCTGTTGTTCTAGGACACGTTATTTTCTGTCAGTTAATACAGTCTGTGTTCATTAATTCTTCCTTTTGCCGACATAGCTGGGTTGAGTGCTTTGGTGGTACAGTTACATGTGAGTTGAACTTCCTCTGTTTTTGTGTTTCAGAAGAGGAAAGGGAATGATTCTTGTGCTTTGTGCATTGGAATTGGCACTAACCTGTTTTTTTGTTTTTTTTTTTTTTGTTGTTGTTGTTATTTTGGCCTTTAGTGAATTTCCTACTGAACCAGATTTGGAAGACTTCACAGAAGCAGCTGTGGATGAGGATGAGGAGGAAGGGGAGGAAGTGGTGGAAGACCGTGATTATTACTATGACACCTTTAAAGGAGATGACTACAACGAGGAGAACCCCACTGAACCCAGCAGTGTTGGTGCTATTTCAGACAAGGAAATTGCTCATGATGTTAAAGGTAACCTCAATGCAAAATGCACATAGTCATTGTTTATTTCGAATTTGTATTACATTCATCACTCTTCACAGGTAAGTCTAAGAAAGAAGGCAGTGTCTGTATGCTGAAGGAGAATCTGGTTCTTCATCACACTGATGGAGGAGCCATGTTAACAGTGAGCAACCAGTCATGTCTAGGGTGAGGTGCAGGGTTGAGTTATAAAGTTTACATTAGAAGGATGTAATTCAAGAATAAAAGACCACACAATCTACCTGTCAGCAAGTTCCTTCCATAGCCAGCCTCCAGTGTTCTCTCCTCCCAAGGAAAGCTACCTCTTCAGTTCTGCTCAAGTCCTAGCTTTCAGGAATGGAAGAACTTTCTCAGGTATACACGTGTGTCCTAGTCTGTAGGCTGCCCTCTCTGTACTGATGTTTGTAGCTGGTAGGATGAAATTGATCTTACCAATTTAAAAAGGGAAGGTGGTGATAGTTCCAGAGCCATTTACTCATAGCCTTTGCTGATTGTTTATTTGAAACCAGTGAAGGGAGAAAGAATTATTTATGACCCAACTAAGAGAAAATTATTTAACTAATCTAGAAATCTATGATTCATCTTGTAAAACATAAGAAAATTAGAACATTTGCTTTTCCAGGTGCTTTAGTCTTGGCCGTAGGTATCACTGCTTAAAACAGCCATTCCACCTGCATTGACTCCTTCAGTCCTTGAAACCATCAAAATAAACACAGCGTCTCCACTGAACAGAATTCCTCTCTGTCAGCTTTTATATCAATCTAAAACAGTCTCTATTTCTGACATCACATGGACAGTGACTCTGCGCACAGGTGCCTGACCTGTGCTGGTCAGTTAGGTTGGCCAGGCCGTCCATCCTATCATGGTTCCCTACATACCCTGCCTTCCCCTGCCCCGCCCCAGCCGGCCTGTAGCATTGTGAAGCATTTGAAGTTCTGCCTCTGTCCCGCTGACACTCTGACCATTTTCACACAGCTGTCTGCTCCCAGGAGGCGATGACGGGGCCCTGCCGGGCCGTGATGCCTCGTTGGTACTTCGACCTCTCCAAGGGAAAGTGCGTGCGCTTTATATATGGCGGCTGCGGCGGCAACAGGAACAATTTTGAGTCTGAGGATTATTGTATGGCTGTGTGTAAAGCGATGAGTAAGTCCCGCCTCGCGCTGGCCCTGTGCAGCAGCACTGTCCTGTCCAGCGTTCTGTCTCCTGGCCATCCTTGTGACCGCATCTGTGTCGTGTTCCTGCCGACTCAGGTGTTGGCTGTCAGTCATTTTCCCTTCATCTTTGTGCCTTCAAGATCGAGGCTTTGCTTTTCTGTTGGCAGTTGTCAGCTCAGTTTTCTGTGTCCCGTGCTCCCCATTTGTCTGCTACTGGCTGGTGGTGGTGTGTCCCCTCCCTGGTGGCAGCAGGTGGCACAAGCAGGGGCTTGTTCTTTCTCATCTAGCCTTGGCACCTGCGGGGTCTGAGGGTGCTTTGGGGTTGGTTGGGATGGCAGCCATGCCCTCGGCTGTCTCTGGTTTAAGAGTACCAAGGATGATGAATAGCCCTGAGTTCTGCACATGCTTGTGTTTGGGCTTCACCTCTTAACCCTCGTGATCGAACTACCCCATTGCTGACCCCTGTAAAGTGTGCCACCTGCTGGGGCACCCACTCTCAAAAGAAGTGACAGTGGGAGTAGTTTTTGAGTCCAGCGTCACATACCTTGCTTCACGCATTATAGGGAAAGCTTTCTAGCCTACTGGCGGTAGTTGTTGCTCCAAAATACTGGGTCATGCAGGGCTGTGAAGGAATTTGAATTTGTGTGTTTTGGTCTCAGAAGGCATAGTGGTTCCATTGAGTTGGGTTTCATTAGTTATCCATAGGAAGAGTATTCCTTTTCTCCATGGTTACTGTCTTTTGTGAAGACCCTGTCTCTCTGCCTAGCCTTACTAACCCTTCCCTGTGTTAGGAAAACGATCCTGCCAGGCATTTTTTCCTTGGTTCCTCTTTGTGGAGTTTTATCAGAGTAATGAGTTGCTGCCTTTTTCTGATATTTGCTCTAGAAATTTTTGGCTATAGCACCTGATGGTTTTTCATTCAAATCCCTTCATATTCTGTCTTTGTTTCTCTAGAAGAATTTTAAAATCCTGATCTAACAGCATGGCGTGCTGTCAGTCCTTCCCCTTCAGCTGTGCACCAGGGAGAGGCTGTTGTATGTGATGATAGATACAGGGGTAAAGCTGAAAGGGTACACACGGGACTTCAGGTGCATAGGAAAGACTTAGAGAAAGAGATTACTGCAGTGACGGGTACTACTATGTGGAACTACTCAAACTCTAAAATCAGCAAAACACTGTCAGGGTTGAAGTGTGAAGAGTTCGGGCCTTTCAGAGATTTTCCTATTTCAGTGGTGGTGCCTGTGCCCATCGGTGTTTTAAGATGTATTGGAATGGCAGGTCTGTAAAGTTGTTTCCTGTGGCTTAAGGTAGATTTGCCAGGGAGAGCACTGCTGGTACTTGCAGGGGTCCCTGTCTGGTGGGCCTTGAAAGTCTAGAAGCATTGGGCTATCAATGGTCATATTTGTGCTTCTCTTGCAATGGGGCTAAGGCGAGTGGATGTGCTGGCTTTCAGAGCTTGTGAGATTTTGATCTGAACCTGTTGGAGTAAACCTTTAGGTGTGCTATCCATTGTTCCCAAAAAGAGGAGAGGCGCACCGTGTTTTGCAGTCTTTAACCAGCTTAGTGCCAGGAATGACCCACAGTCGTTCCCACAGGAATGTGACTCACAGGAATGACCCTAAGCCTTTGCCCTACTAATGAGTGTCAGGGTAGCCATGTGTATGTGGGCATGCATGGACATGGGATTCTCCCTCTCTGGATGTAGCATCTCTTGGCGAGTATGGTTTGTTAAGCAATGTATTTCTAACTTAGTTAACCTGAAAGCTGAATATTGAGATCCTTTTGGGACATGCAGGACTCTAAGATTCTTCACAAGACTTTAGTAGTAGCTTTTGCATTCATTAAGTCCAAGAGAGCAGAGAAAAGATAATCTCTGAAAAACTTTAAAGCAGCTGGCTGATTTGTAACTGTAGTCATCAATTTTATGAATTAAAATTATGAAGTTTTAGAAACTAGTGAATTTGTTTCTGAATTAAAAATTAGTTGGATTCTGGCATTTGCTTTCTGCTTCCCAGTCTGAGAAATCTTACTCAAGTGATTTGAACATGAGTAGCATTCCCACAGGTATCTCTTCAGAGCTTGCCTTGGGTAAACCTTTCCTGTGCCCATCTACCCTACACATACCATCTGCTGGGGCCAGTAGGAGCTTCTGCTGACCAGCAGTGAGGTGAGGGTGTCCTTTCCAGTTGCCCTGTGCTCTGAGGGGTACCTGGAAAGGTCCCTGGGTCAGTGTTACGCATGAGGCCCGGGGTGTCCTCATGTCACTGGAAGGTAGCCTTGTCAGATACAGAAACTTAGTTTTTTAATGCCTAGTAGTCCTGTTTCTGGGGTAAGTGTAAAAATGATGCTAAAAATTCAGAATTAGAGCTGGATTGATTTGGACTTTCTTTATCCCTCATGTGTACAAAGAACTTTCAAATGAACTGTTTAGCCAAAATAAAGACCTAAAGGTTGCCTGAAGAGAGGAAGGGGGTTGAGTCATAAGTTCCTTAAAAAATAGACACATGTGGAATTGCCTTGAGATGGTCTAATTTTAGCCCTGGTCCCTATTCAGTCGCCATGAGTGATGAGCAGAAAGGTTGCTGTTTTTCAGGTTTTCAGGTTAAAAGGCCCTGAAGAGACATTGGAAAAGGAGCTGCTTCCTTTTCTAACCTGCAGTCCTAGGATCCTGGGGGGTGGGGCCACCAACAAATTGCTGTATTAGCATGGACCAATATGGTTAATGAGTACTATGTAAAAGAGACAGCTCATGTAATCTCACAAAGTGAAGTCTTGGCAGACAGCAGCGCCGGCACTTTTTAGCAAGCCAAGCGACAGATTAAATCCACCCTGCAGGTTTTGAGCTGGGTTTTCTCCTAGAGCACACCATGGTTTTAATAGTGCACCTGACCTCCAGGAAGACAACTTCTATAATTTTGTTTCAGTTCCCCCAACTCCTCTGCCAACCAATGATGTTGATGTGTATTTTGAGACTGCTGCAGATGACAATGAACATGCTAGATTCCAGAAGGCTAAGGAACAGCTAGAAATTCGACACCGCAACCGAATGGACAGGGTAAACCTCTTAATCTTAATGGTGCTTTGGTATTGGGTAGGTTTATTTATTTTTTTGTGATGTGGGGGCTTGAACCTAGGACCTTGCACATGCTAGACAAGCAATCTGTTGCATGGTTTTTATATTAAGAAGGCAACACTGGGCGTGGTGGTGCACACCTATAATCCCAGTAGTTAGGAGCCTGAGGCAGGAGGATCGCCATGAGTTTGAGGCCAGCCTGGGCTACATGATAAGACCATCTCCAGAGAAGGAAAGAGAAAAAGTGATGTTGTTTCCCTAAAATGTAGCGCTGTATAAGAAAAGCTGAGCTTCTGTGGGGTTTCCTTCTGGGTGGGCAAGTCTTCCCCCACATCCTGTCTCCATGAAAATTTGGCTGCAGACACTGTTGAGCATTTCCCATAACTATTAATTACTTACTACTTTTCTTTGCAATCACTGACTTCAACAAAGTTTTTAAAGCCAGGAGCTATATCATTGTCATAAATAGACAACTAGTGTCATTTGCCATGTGAACAAGTTAGCTGAAAAAATAGATGAAGAGAAACATTTTAATGCATTCTAGCCAGATATCCTTATAAGGAGAAGGCTCTGAGTCCCAGGGCCTTGTGTCTTCCTTGAGCAGATTCTGAGTGTCAGGCAGGAGCCTGCTTTCTTCTGGCCTTGCCCAGGACTGAAGGAGGTGGACACAGATGCACCTTTCAAGGCCTGTGCTTCACCCCAACACCCTCATGACACCTGGGCTGGCCTTATACTTTGGGACAGGCTCATTTTATTTTTCCACATCTCTTCTGAGAAATAGCTACTAAGCTCTGGTTTTTGGTAAGGAGATTAAGGCATAGACTGAAATAACTTGCCCAAGGTTGCATAACAAAGAGGTCACAGAATTGAAGCTCCATCTGTGCCTAGCTGAGGCCTAGAACCTTCCTAGGCAGTAGCTCCTGAGCTCAGAAGGGATCAGAGAATACAGATACAGTTTCCTTTTGCAGTTTCTGACACAGAGATCAGTGCCTGGCAGTATTTTTAGAAAGTACGGAAGTTGTTTGAGAGGATTATTCTCTGATGTTTTGACCTTTGTTCTAGGTAAAGAAGGAATGGGAAGAGGCAGAACTTCAAGCCAAGAATCTCCCCAAAGCAGAGCGGCAGACTCTCATTCAGGTAAGATGCCTTCTCCAGGAACAAAGTGTGCATCTTGACCAGTTGAAAACAAGTGTGTATGTTCGCAGTCAAACTTCCAGGAAGTGGGAATTTGATACCTCCTCTTAGTCAAGGGCTTAAGTTGCAGGAAAGTTGTTTCCTTTTTCACCTCTAGCATTGCTTGCTTATGGTAGAGGGAAACCAGAGTCCCTCTGAACGCCAGAGGGAAACCAGACTCCCTCTGAGAGCATGCCTAATTCTTGGCCAAGAAGTAATTTTAGCTCAGGTGCCATTTGGTAATTTTCTTTCATTGACAAAAGTCCCCTGTCATCTTCATTCTTGGGATGTGGCTTGTTTTCCAGAAGTACTAGACTGGGGGGTAGACTAATTGAAGAGTCCAAAGGCCGAAAAACAAAGGTTTTTAACTCACGTTCATCTCTAACTTTGTGAAAGTATAACCTTAAAATCATAGCAACAAACTTCATTCTGCTTTGATAAAAGAGAGTTGCTGATAGGGGTACCAATTTATAAGGTATGGTTGGTTTGGGAAAACTGTTTTATTTGTATTTTGGGGTTCAGAGGCTTGAACCCAGGGCCTGTAATATGCCGAGCACATGCTGTAGCACTAAACTACATCCCCAGCCCCTGATTACATTTCAGATTTTTTTTTTTTTTTTTTTTTTTGGTACTGGGAATGAAACTCAGGACCTGGTGCTTGGTGCTTGTGCTGCTGAGCTATCTCCCCAGCCCTCAGATGTTTATGTTCAGCTGACTTCCCTCTTGTGATGGGAATTCTTTTCAGGAAGATCTTTGCTTTTTTATTAATCACCTTGAAAATCCTAAGTTGTAATATCTGTACCAGCCAGTGTGTCTTACCCAGTGAAATTTTAATTTGACAGCCTTAAATGGTACCTGTAAACATGGCTAGATATCTTATGGATAACTTGCCTTTTACTACGTTAACAAGCGCAATTCAGCATAACTTACCACATTGCTGGATTATATTTCAAAGTACATCTCCTGTTGGTCCCTGGTTTCACCACCTTGGAAAGTCAGCACCTTGCTGTAATGTGGAAAAGAGAGGTTTTTACTGCAGTGCACATTGAAATGGCAGGCACGAGGCTGCACTGCTATTAATTTCACTTACCAAAGCGCTTAAGGAGTCTTTCTGACACTGAGATCTGACTTGCTTTTTAGGAGAGGAAGTATTCCAATAGCAGGCAGATAAAGAGTATGTCGATCTCAGATGCTGCACTCTCTGAACCTGTCTTGCATAGGTGCTGGGCAAGGAGAAGCACTGGAGTCTAGAGCTGCTCACTCAGACTTCCTCTAGGGGTCACATGCTATGTGGTGTTCCTTCTCTCTTGATTTAGCACTTCCAAGCTATGGTTAAAGCTTTAGAGAAGGAAGCAGCCAGTGAGAAGCAGCAGCTTGTGGAAACCCATCTGGCTCGAGTGGAAGCCATGCTGAATGACCGCCGGCGGATGGCGCTGGAGAACTACCTGGCGGCCCTGCAGTCTGACCCACCGCGAGTGAGTTGGCATTGGTCTTTTCAGTGGGGCCTACCTTAAATTGGTGCACTTGGCAGAATCAATGTGTGGGGTACAGGCGGGTGAAAATTATGTTTTTATAACACATTTTTACTAAGTTAAGGGTATGGAAAGATTTAGAAGGAAAAAGTATTATGTTTTAGTATCTGTGTATATAAACTTGCATAACTTCATGCCTGTGAGTACCACCTATGATATGCAAATACTTTATACTAGAAAAACAACCTCAGGATATTGATAGGTAGTTATACAATTATTGGATTTTCTCTAGTAGCCTTGTCTTCAAAGAATGAGAACAAAGCCTTCTGTGAATGAAAGCTTTTGAAACAGTTCCATTAGAAACAAGATTATGAAGAAAAGGATAAAGTAATTTATATTGAAACTTGTGCAAGTGGAGGCCACTTTTTAACCTCTTAATTCTGTCCTGCCTTGCTCTTGGGGATGGCAGACATCAGAAGGGAGGATTTTTGTATCTTGTGTCCTTCTTGAGTACGCCAGTGAGGCCTTTTCTGTTCGGGTGACAGAAAACCACCAGCTGGGTGTCAGAGGCTGAGCCAAGAAAGAAGACAGGTTGGGAGGGCAGTGGGCTGGAGATTCTGGGCAGTACTGTTTAAGGAGCTGATTCCATGCTGGAACTTAAAATTTTGCTATTTTATATGGAAAGTTTCTGTTCTTGTATCTGGGTAAGCTTCACATTTTTAAGTGAACTTTCTCAGCTTTTGTTTTTCTACCTATTTTGAATTCCAGTGAGTGGATATTAAAATAATTGTTTTCTCCTTCAGCCTCATCGCATTCTCCAGGCCTTGCGGCGCTATGTCCGTGCTGAGAACAAAGATCGTCTGCATACCATTCGTCATTATCAGCACGTGTTGGCTGTTGACCCGGAAAAGGCAGCCCAAATGAAATCTCAGGTAGGCTGCATGTAGAATTCTCTACCTCAAGATAGTTTCAAGTAGGGGCGTATTCCTTGACTGATACTGGGACAGCATTGCTGGTTATGCTCGTTTTCTTAGTCCTTAGGAAGGGATTTTTTGATTTCCAAAGAGAGTGGCACATGAGTTGGTTTTTTTGCAGTGCTATTTTTAAAATGTCCTTTCCATACTTTATATTAAGTGCTTTGTATTTAACAGTTTTTGAAGGTTTAGAAATACAGGATTATGTTGAAGAGAAAGTCAGTTTTGATGCCAAATTTTATATCAGTTTATTTCTGATACCACCAGAATTAATATTTGAGACCCTCTTCTAGGCAGAAAAGATCATTAAGCAGATATTAAAAGTTTGTCTTGGGCTGAAAGTACAGCTCAGATGTTAGATTACTTGTCTTACATGTATGAGGCCTTCCCTGGTTTGATCCCTAGTGCTGTTGCCTCTCACAAACAAAAGATCTCTCTTTTTGTTTTGTGCATTACAGTTTTTATTTAGGCAGACATTTTCACATTCCTGGTTTTTTGTTTTTCATTCCTGGTTTTGTCCCATGCAGCATCTAGCTTTACTTTATAGTCATCTATAGAGACTTGATTCCTTTTTGTCATTTTGCTCTTGTCCCTATGTTGACTTTTTACTTTTTTGTTAGATTCATAGAAAAAGAACTTGCCTATAAGACTGCTAGCTGTCTTATAAACGAGGAAGCCTCTGCCTGTTAGTTTTACTCAAGGGCCTTGTACAGTATCATCACTGATCTTATTTACTTCCATATTTTAAATATAATGCTGTGTGATTGCAAGCACCAGTCCACACAGAATACACTATTGGTCATTGCTCATCATCCTAGAAACTCTCCCTCCCATTCTTGTGTGTACTGTGATCATAAGGTAATTTGTCTCTTAAATTTTAGGAATATTGTTGCTAAGTTCTACTCCATTTGCTGGGCAAGAGAATTTTTATGTCCACTTACCGGCAGATTCCATAGTAGCTTTGGATGATACAAAGTTGAGTACTCTTGAGCAGCTCACAGCCAATATGAAATTAATTTTATTAACTATAAAGATGGAGAATGATGATCCATAAATGTCCAGAGTAGTTCAGCAGTAGAAGTTAGGTATTTGGGTAGGCGTGATGACAGACACCTTTAATCCCAGCCACTCGGAAAGCTCAAAAGTTTCAGGCAAGCCTGGGCAACCTAGGGGAGACCCAGTCTCAAAATAAAAACGAGAAAAGGACCAAGAGTCCTGGAAAGACTTCTGGGAAGACAGGAAGAAATGCCTCCTGTCAGGGGTTAGGTAGACTTCTGATGTCTACTCTGTTTTTAAATAAAATTAATTGTTTTCCACACTTTTTGGTGAAAAATTAGCAGTATTACATTTTACAAAAAAATAATCCTGTTTTGTGTGGTCAGAATAGAAGGGGAGACATTGGTCAATAGCTCAGATAATCAGAGGATCCCGCACACAGTCAAACCACCACACCAAGTACAGTGAAAAGAACCATCCTACCAGAGAGCATTCCAGGGAGGCCCAGCTCTCCCGGTGTTTTCATTTATTTATTTAATTTAATTAATTGCTTTATTTATTGAGTCAGGGTCTCGCTATGTAGTTCAGCCTGTCCTTGAACTCACTATGTAGCGCAGGCTGTCCTCAGATTCCTGGTGGTCCTCCTGCCTCAGCGTCTCTCCTGCTGGGATTACAGGTGTGTGCCACCACACCCGGCTTGTCTCTTGGTGCTTTTATATCAGCTATGTTCCTAATTCTAGCCCAGCATCCTCACTGAGTTAAAGTAACCTTTTATTATCTGAACTCTAGAAAAACCCAAGATACTCAACCTTATCCTTATCCTTATCTGAGATGCCTAGAACCAGAAAAATATTTCTGGTTTTGGTTGGTTGGTTTGTTTTTTCAGATTTTGGAACATTTGCCACAGTACATGATGAGCTATCCTTTAAAGTCTAAACATGAAACTCATTTATATTTCATATATACCTTCTACACATAGCCTGAAAGTAATTTTATATAATTTTATTGACCTATATTTTGACTGTGACTTTCACATGAGATCAAGTTTAGAGCTTTCCACTTAGAGCATCATGCCAGTACTCAAAATGTTTCAGATTTTAAGCATTTAGAGCATTTCTGATTTTGGATTTGCATGTTAGAGACATTTAACTGGCAGAACTTCAGCTATATTTTCTTGCCTGAAATATAAGTGATGTGCCCCTCCCCCATCTAGCTCAGGGTTACCGTAGCAACACTAGTTTCCAGCGTTCTGCCCTGTAGTTCTTCACCTCCTATGGATATATGAGTTGGCCTTTTCACCAAGGCTCCCTGACTGCTCTGGGGAAGCATAATGATGCCCACACCGGCTGAGAATGGGGGTGGTGCAGGGCTGCGTATTTACATTTCCTCAGAGGCACCCACTCTGGGGCTTTCCCATCAATTTACTTGATTGGCAGAATGGCAAATATAAAATTAAATTGCTTTCATTCTTGCTTTTAAAGGTCAGAGACACATCAGTCTGCAATAAAAGCGTCTTTACATTTAACTTTTTCTTTCATTTTGACCCTTCATTTTAATGGCTTCAAGCTCTCATAATTAATCCGCTGGCCTTGAGCACCCTCTTTAGGAAGAACTGGGTAACTGCGAGCCTGACCAGACAGGGTTTGCTGAGTTCGTGTGAGCTGCAGCAGCGTGCCTTGTTTTCATTGGGTGGATGTTAGCCCAAGTCACGTTGTGGTTTATTTATACCTGAACATTAATTTTTTCAAGAACAGTAACTTAGTTAAGTAGGAATAAACTGTTCTGCTCTTCACCATAGTAATCATTGTAAGTGGCTTCTTCACTAAGCAAAATCCATCATTGATCCCCTTTCCACATACCTACTTTCTGGCCGGTCATTTCAGTCTGTTTTTGCCCCTAATCTGAGCATTGGTAATAATTGACTGATACTTTCACTCAGCAAAACTAATTGAACACCCAGCATTGTATAAATGAGGGTCCTTTAGCTCAGTGTGGTTGGTAGTAAGTGCCTCCTGTGAAAATCACACTCAAAACTAGATAGCAGACATTTTTTACAGTGAAGTTTTCTTCTGACTTGGATCCCTCTATAGATGAACATGCTGTCTGAATGTATTGGGTAAGTGGGACCTTGGGACTAACACATTTCCCTGGCCAGCTACTCTGCTGGACTCTGGAGGGGGCACACCTTTGCCTTCACCTTTCTGGAAGTGTTCCCTCCTAGCTGATGGTTCTCTGTAATAAGACCTCTCCACCCTAACTCTCCTTCCAGGTGATGACACATCTCCATGTGATCGAAGAAAGGAGGAACCAGAGCCTCTCTCTGCTCTACAAAGTCCCTTATGTAGCCCAGGAAATTCAAGCAGAAATTGGTAGGTCGTAGGTGCCTGCATCAAGGTTGGGGTTACTTCTTGCTGAGGCTCAGGTGGCATGGCTGGGTAAGAGGAGAGAATTTGGAACTAGCAGGGCTCATAAGGTTGGGCACGAGCATGCTGTGGCTCCAGAGGTCTGGAGTCAACAGAAGCTCATATGGCAAGGTCAAGGAGTTCCTAAGGACAGCTGTGTGCTGGCTGGAAGCCACAGAGCCTTGAGTTTCCTTGACATTCACTCTTGTTAGTGGAAGAAAATCCAGGGTATGAAATGCAGGGGCTGAGAAGTTTCCTGTTAAAATTTCCCTTTAATTACTGAGGTATTCCAAGGCACCCTGTTTAACACAAATTCCAACATCCTCTTCTCCAAGCTTTACTGTGTCTACTTTTGTGTCCCAGGGTAAAATAGTGCACCGGTGGGGGGGAACTACTGGAGTTGAGGTTATAGCAGGAGAGAAACTGATAGTAAAACAGCAAAACAAGGATCAGGTGGTTCTAGTGATGAGTAGAGCCTTACAACCAGGGTGGAATGGTGGGAATGCTGTCAGGCAGGGGAGCAATAACTTGAGAGTTTGAGAGTTGGTTTCCTGCAAAGATCATAAGGGAAATCATGTTGCTGGTAGAGGGAATGATCACTCTGAAGGCCTGAAGTTTAAGTCACCAGCACATTTGAGTCCCATGTCACAGGGAATGACGACAAAGAAGTAGGCAGGGTCTGGATCCTGAGGAGAGTTAAATGAAATCGAGTTGGATTTTATTCTAGGTAGGATAATGGGAAACAGCTAGAGGACTTCAGCCTAGGGAGTGACTAGGTCTGGATTGTTGTCCTGAATATGAATTTTGGAAAGGAAAAAAAAAGTCTCTTGGCTGCCATGTGGAGAACTGATTGAGATTGAAGACCAGCCCAGAAGAGATTATGAAAATCCAGGAGCAAGACTGTGGTAGTGTGTGCCGCTGATGCTGGAGAGTGAGAGACATTTGTGAGAGGTGCTCCAGGGGACAGGTAAAAGGGTGTGCGGAGAGGGGTGAGGGAGAAGAGCACCAGCACGTCACACTGAGGAACTGAGTGAGTGAGTGGATGGTGGTGCCAGTGCTTACGGAGGTGGAGGGAAAATAATGCTGCTTGTATGGATTCAGATAGGAGGTGCTGTTGGACGTGAAAGTGGAGATCAAAGATCCAGTAGCTACAGGTTAAGGGTATGGGAATCACGATATATGGGTGGTTTTTTCAACAGGCATGGGAGAGGTAGGCCAAAGCGTAGGAGACTACAGCCATGTAGAGTGAGTAGGCCTAGTTATCAAACATGCAGTGTGAGCAGTGTAGTTAATGGGATACTGCAGTTGATGTGGTGGCGCTTCCTATAATCCCAGCACCGGGAGACTGAGGCAGGAGGATTGCCACAAGTTCAAGGCCAGCCTGGGCTACATAGTGAGTTCAAGGCCAGCCTGAGCTATATAGCAGGACCCTGTCTCAAAGAATATATTATATTGTATGCTGAAAAATTGCGAGAAGAGTAAGTTTTCAGTATTCTTTGCAATAAGAGTAACTGTGGAAGGTGATGGGTACTTAATGTGCACAGTTAGTAGTCATTTTACTATGTGTATCAAAACATCACCCTGTATATCAAAAATATGTATAATTTTTAAAAATCCAAAACTGGGGCATTCAAGAAGACCACTTAACCAGTATGTGGAGAACTACGAGAAGAGGGTCTGGAGAGAGCCTCAGGTTACGTGGTAGTACTGTAGAGTCATAGAAGGTGTTTGGTATTGAGGGCAGGGATGCAGAGGTCACCTGGGTTGCAGACTGATGGGACACTGGGCAGATCTTGAGCTCTTGTGTAACAAGAATTACCCTTTTGTAGGCTGCTGGTCCTGGGTGAACACACTAAGTCTTCTGAAAGTTGCATTTCTGTTTCCTGCCTATGTCCTCAGATGAACTCCTTCAGGAACAGCGAGCAGACATGGACCAGTTCACTGCCTCCATCTCAGAGAGCCCCATGGATGTACGGGTGAGCTCTGAGGAGAGCGAAGAGTTCCCGCCGTTTCACTCTTTCCATCCCTTCCCACCCTTGCCTGAGAATGAAGGTGCGTATGTCCTCACATAACTTCTTGACAGTGGGCTGGGGGACAGCACAGTTAGAACATTTGGGGTCTGTTGTTTGTATTCCTGGTGAGAGGCAAGGAAAGGGAGACTGGATTCCTTCAACACTGCTGTGTGTGAGCACCAAGGTGGTCCTGCCTGCCAGCTGGCTTTTCTACCACACAAGTCAGGGGTCCTCCTGCCATGTTATAGATGGGTTGCTTTAAGCCTGCTGCTCTTCTGCTTCTGCGATGCCTTGTTTCATGCAGGAGTCACTTTGTAGGTGAAATAGCACCTTTGTCTTATGTAAGGTTGTCTTTTTTTATGACAGTTTTGGGAGGTAGGGCCTGAGGAAGGGCCTGGATGGGCTGAAGGTCACATCTCTGATGTGGCTGAGTAAGAAACTGTGTCCTAGTCAGTCTTGAGACCTAGTCAGGCCTGCTTTCCTCCCTTCTCTCGCTGGTTCGTGTTGACTGAAAGGATCTCTAAAGGGGATGAGTCTGCACCAGAAATAAGCATACTTTGGAGACCAGAATCCCAAGACCAATGTGTGTGATCAGATTCTATTTACTGCTACTGCAAATGGTGATAACAGTGGTAAAAATGGCCACAGCAATTCGCCAGCTTTAGTTAAGCATTTGGCTCACAGGGTTTCATTCAGTCTTCAGAATAATCCTCTAAGGTAGATACTGGGAATGTCCCCTTTGGGGATCCTAAAGTTTAAAGAGTTTAAATACCTCCCAGAGCCATGTCACTTGGAGGGGGAGAGTGAGGCTTCGAACCTGAGCTAACAGGGACCTGTAGCCCCGGGATTGCAGTAACATACCTTTGACCGCACATAGTGCTGAAACAGACCGGGTCCAGCTTAGCTCTCAGCTTTTAATAGAAATGCTTTCTGAACTAGTTATCTTGGAGGTACCAACTCTGACCTTCCAGTAATAAAGCAGGAATGAAGAGGTATCACCCTTCCTGACCCTGATTTAAAGATCCCAGGCTCTGGGGCTGTAGTGTAGTCACATAGGGCCATTTCTTTATGCTTAGTTGGGGTTGAAGCATCTTGGGCATAGTGGTAGCTCAGTAGGGCCTGGTCTCCGTGTAAGTAAACCACAACCAATACTAACCTTGGTTTTTTGGGGTTTTTTTTCCCCTATTTCCTGAGAAAATAAGGAAAGGTAAATAATTTGTCAATCTCCCATAATTTCCCTTAAAAGGCCCAAGTCAGATTTACTGTTTTTTCTCTCATCAAGAATGTCTTCAAGTAAATTGCTGTGGATCTTGTTGCTAATTTGCTTATAAGATATGTCAGGCATGGTTTTTAAGTAAAAATGCCTTTCATTTACATGATAGAGAAATTCTAAGACAGGAATTTTGAAAGAAGCCATTTTCTTTCTTAATCTCCTTTTGTGCTATTTTTTTTTTTTATTGTTTTCCTTTCTGCTAGACACTCAGCCGGAGTTGTACCACCCAATGAAGAAAGGTTGGTTTGTCAAAGACCTCCATTCCTTCTCACCTCCCTACGTGTCGGCAGTCTCACTTTCTGTTTCATGTCATCGCCTGATTCCCCACCTCATTCCTTCAGCCTTGGCTGTGCTGTGCACAAGTAGCCCTGGCGGTCAGCACCCAGAGGCCGCTTTCATTGGCGGTGGCTGCTGTGTGGACACCTGGAGCTTTCTTTCTAGGCTGTCCAGAAAATGCACAGTAACTCACATAGATGCTTTGCTAAATCCTTCTAGGATTTAGGAACCTTAAACAAGTTGGTTATGAATTGCTGATATATAGAATAACAATATGCCTAATTCACAGGGTGCATCTTTTGCCTTTCTGCATCTTTTTTCTCTAATTTTCCCACTTACCTTCTTTCCCTTTTTAGCTCTCTCTGCCGTGTGTGTGTGTGTGTGTGTGTGTGTGTGTGTGTGTGTGTGACATCACTTGTCCATGTCCTCTGAGTTGTAGCAAACTTGAGAAGCTGATGATCAGATAGCGACAGGTGAACTCTTGGTATAGCAAGTCCCCAGTTTTCAAAGACAGCTCACATTTTGGAAGAGCACCAGGCTGAGTCCCTGTGTACTTGACCTCATTTAACCCACTGAATTTACCCTTGGTGCAGGATTCTGCACTCAGTTTTACAGGTGAGGCGGTTGAAGAACCCTTGGAGGCTGCGTGACTTGTCCCAGTCTGCATTTCAGGGGGGGAGGAGGGACTCTGTCCTTGAAGCCCATGTGGTTTCTATTGCCTGAGCTGCAGCAGCAGCTGCTCAGCCCCAGCTGGGTGGGTAGTCCCCTCTTGAGTGAGTCACTGCTAACAAGTGCAAGTTCTTCATGTCCTTCATGTATTTTAGGGACCCACTCTTGGTTTTGGCAGACTGATTATGGGTAGACCAGGCAGTTTTCCCTGGCTCAGAATTCGTTGTTTTCGGTTATGCCAGAGCTCCTCTCGGAACATAACAGTGTGATGTGAATGTTCTGAAAGTGACTTACATGTAGCTGCTTTATTTTGGCTGTGCCTTTTCATAGACGTCATTGTGTTAACATTCCTCTCAGCAGCACATTTCCAGTGCTAAGAGATAATGATGAATTTTCTTGAAATTCACATGGCTTTTCCTTTTACAAACTGTTACGAGTTAGGACAATCTAACCATTAATTTTTGGTCTCTTTAAGTCACTTAAACATTTTTATAAATCACATGGTTTGACTTTTTTGTTTGTTTTGTTTTTTGAGACAGGGTCTTGCTGTGTAGTTCAGGGTGGCCTTGAACTCACTATGTAGCATAGGCTGGCCTCAAACTCACAGTGATCCTCCTGCCTCAGCCTCCCAAGTGCTGGGGTTAATAGGCATGCTCCACCACACCTGGCTGCCAAATGGTTTGGGAACTGACCGAAGAAACAATGCGAGAGTTGAGTGTGGTGGTGCATGCCTGTGATGCCTATGATCCTAGCACTCAGGAGGCTGATGAGGGAGGGTCACCTCAAGTTCAAGGCCAGCCTGGGCTACATAGTGAAACCAGACCCTGTCTCAAAAAAAAAGAAAGAATGAGGTTTATCCCGCCAAAAAAGAATTAGAATGATCTGGATTGGTAATAGGCCTTTAAGTGACTCGGTTCATATCACATCATTTTTTGAGTAGGATCTTGCCCTTACGACCTTTAAAATTCAGAAGAAAAAATATGGAAGGAACTCAGAATTTACTGGGCTTATTCATAGCATCTTTGCTGTGGCAACACTTACAGATTCTTCTTTCTCAGAAGCTGGAGTGCAGTGCTACTGTTTTCATTGGCATTTTAAGACTACAAAAGCCAGCTCTGACTTAACTTGAATAAGGTTGTGCAAGTCTTTTTAAAGTGAAAGGCTTAGAAAAAAATTGCATCATTTTTGGCTGTGTTATAATATGTTAGTGAATTAGCCTGCAAGCCGAGCAGCTGCAGAGGCTGTGAATTGCTTATGTTGCCTGTGGTAAGGAGGAGTCTGGATGTGAACTGGAAGGCTCTGCTGAAGCAGGTCCTAGAGTCGTTGCCTGCTTCTAATGAGCTCGGAAAGCAGGCTGTGCGGAAACTTAGGATCTTGCTTGCAGGTAGTTAGCTTAGAATGTTCTGTATGCTGTCAAGTTGGTCTGCTTGTTTATAAAAAGTTCAAAACATAAATGTGTGTAGAGTTGCATATATTGCAGAGGAGCTTAGAATAGCTAGAAATCGGGTCCTTTGGAGCTAAAAACAAAGGGAATTGTCTCCAGTATTGCCCTTGCTGAGTCTAGTCGTGCTGCATTTTTTTTTGTTTTGTTTTTCTCCTGTACCGGGAACCGAACTCACGACCTTGCGCTTGCCAGGCAGGCGCTTTGCTGGTGAGCTAAATCCCCAGCCCCTCGTGCTGCGTATTTTGATGCTGTCGTTCCAGGTGCCACACACAAGTGATGTAGGCTCAGGCCATGTCTGAGCTTGGAAAGAGGAGAGTTGCTGTCCTTCTTGCCTTCTGTCCTGGTGTTAGGAAATGCTTTTTCCTGTTTGCTCTGTACTAACCAATGAGAGTGCATCTATCTGGGATCTACTCTCTGCCGTACATGCAGCCCAGTGAGAGGTGCAGAAGGAGATTGAGAATTGCAAACTGTAATTTTAAGAGCTCCAAACTGAGCACCTCCCATGAGGAGCTGAAGCTCAAAGGACGGGTAGGAGGGCTTGAGCATAGGGAGTGTATTTGAGGCAGAAAGAATTGCCTGTACAGTAAAGTCAAGCTCAGAGCTAACATGCAAATCATTGCTGGGTGATGCCAGAGGACCCAGGTGCTGAAGGGTTGGGCTGCAGGATAGCAGGTGACAGCAAGATCAGGCTGGGAGGGTGTTGTTGCGTGTTTTCACTCAGCTGCTGTATATACCTTACCAAAGCATTCACCCCAAAGTCATGGGTCCCATTTCTCCAAGTGGGAGAAAAGTAAGCACTCTGCCCTCCTTCATTACACCCACCAGTCTTCTGAAAGTGCCTGTAATTCACCCTGGGGTAGAGCATAGAGCATCCTCAGGCCATGGACCACAGTGATATCCTTGGGCAGGTGTTTGCCGCTTTTGTGAGACAAGCCTGCGGTAAACAGCCTGGACACTCAGCTGTGATCTCTCTTCACACAGGGTCAGGAGTAGGAGAGCAGGACCGAGGACTGATCGGTGCAGAAGAGAAAGTGATTAACAGTAAGAATAAAGTGGATGAAAACATGGTGAGCCCACTTTCTCTCTTGCCCACTGAAGTGTCAGTGCTTAAGGATGTGTGGTCCAGCTGCTCCCACAGATTGACTGTTGTAAGCATTACATCTGTGTCTGTGAGGAGAGGAGTGAATGAAACCGTCTTTTGTCCAGTACCTCATCCTATACAGTAGACAAATATGCAGTGCAAAAAATATGGTAATTGTTTAACCAAAATACTTACCGTCACTTCAAATGCACTCATCCCATTGTTATTGCCGCTTCTTTTTTTTTTTTTTTTTGTCTTTTTGAGACAGGGTCTCACTATGTAGTTCAAACTGGCCTTGAGCTCACTTTGTAACTCAGGCTGGTCTTGAACTCCTGCTTCAACCTCCCGAGTGTTGGGATTACAGGCATGCGCCACCATGCCTGGCATCCTGCCACTTCTTGAAGCGGTTCTGGAAGTCATCTTTCTTGAATGTCTTTAGTTGTGCTGTCATAGCTGACTTGATGTCCTGAATCAATTCAGAACATAGCTCTTTCAAGGTCATTTTGACTCTGGGAATACCCAGAGGTCACACAGTGCCAGGTCTAATGAACAAGGTGGATGAGGATACATTGTACTGTTTTACCTGCCTGCCTTTTCATTGGATGGCATTTGGCAGCAGGGTGCTATATTTTTTTTTTTTTCTGTCACACCTCATGGCACAAAAGAGGACTTCCACAACTTCTTCAGAAAGTAGCAAGTGGGCCAGGGATGTAGCTCAGCAGCAGAAGCGCTTGCCTGGCAAACCTAAGGTTATGAGTTTGATTCCTGGTACCAAAAAAAAAGAGTAGCAAGAACAATTTAAGCGTTCATTGTATATTTTGATCCCCTTGTACCTTTCCTACTAAAGGTATGAATAACATGTTAGAAGCCATTTTCAAATGAGCAGAAATTTGGTAACTTAAAAATAGAATAAATTTGGGTTCATGTCTTCGTTTTTTTTGAAACAAGGCCTCACTGTATAGTTTGGGCTATCCTTGAACTATGTAGTTCAGGCTATTTCAAATAACAGCAGTCCTCCTGCCTCAGCCTCCCCAGTGCTGAGGTGTTATAGGCATGCGCCCCATGTGTGGCTTGGGTTTGGTTCTTATACTGCTGAAATTTATACCCTCCTTGAATTCTTTCAGCATTTTTGTCACTTATATTTCTGGATTGTCTTCCAGATTATATCTAGATAGCTGAATTTGGTATGTAAATATGGCTTCTTCATAAAAACCCTTATGAGACCAGCTATACAGCTATACTAATTTACTAACCATTCCAGCCAAGGGTTTGGTGAATGGATTTGGGAGAACATGACAGAAGTGACTGGCTAGTAGGGGTCCCTCAGGTGTCTGCTTTCCACCAGATGGAGTAGAGAAAAAGCGCTGATATTTATACTGAATTTGCCCAGCCACCCAGTTGGTTGCTGACCTTTCACCACCATTCCAGGTCGTTGATGAGACTTTGGACGTAAAGGAGATGATTTTCAATGCCGAGAGAGTTGGAGGCCTGGAGGGAGAGCCGGTATGTGTTGGACTGCAGAGCCCAAAGCCGGGTTTCATGTCAGTGTGAACTTCTTACCCGCTCCGGTCATGTGGGTAGTGAGAGATGCCCAGTGTTTCAAGTTAATTTCCCATACTTGGGGTGAGAAGGGCGAAATGAAAATGCTCAAAGGTGGTCAAGGACCAAGTCCTTGTTTGCTTTGATTGTAGGAGTCTGTGCGACCAGTACGGGAGGACTTCAGTCTGAGCAGCAGCGCCCTGATCGGCCTGCTGGTCATTGCCGTGGCCATCGCCACAGTCATCGTCATCAGCCTGGTGATGCTGAGGAAGAGGCAGTACGGCACCATCAGCCATGGGATTGTGGAGGTGAGGGCTGGGGTCCTGCCTGGGCCAGGCTGGCGCGGGTTGGCCCTGCAGCCTGGGGTGACGTGCGGGCAGGAGTTGTGTGGAGCCCAAGCATCTCGAGTACTAGATGTGCTGCCGTCGTCAGTTACGGCAGCACTGTGTTAGTTGCTAGGCTGCGTTGGGAGTTGGCCATAGCTGAATTCTGCCATTCCTGCTGCAGGGGGCTGCTGCTGCCTTTCAGCCTTAATTTGGGTTTTGACTGAATATCAGGAAGTCCGAGGAATATTCTGTGCTTTGGATAGCAAAATTGGTTTTCTCAGAGTGTTCCTAGTGTTTTCTTTTTTCAGATGGGTCAGATATTTAAGAACGGAATGAGGCTGGGTATAGTGACACACACCTGTAATCCCAGCACATGGGAGACTGAGGCAGGAGGATTGCTATGAGTTCAAGGCCAGCTTGTGCTGCATAGTAAGACCCTGTCTAAAAAAAAAAAAAAGAATAAAATGAATGACTGCTGGTGATGCTACAGGCCCCACATGGAGAGTATGCTAAGCTAGCAAATGTTCTACCACTGACGTGTATATCACAGTCTACCTCCACTTTCTTAATCAGGAGGGAAGGAATAAAAAAAAAAAAAAAAAGCCAGTAGGAGGGCTGGTGGTATAGCTCAGTAGTAGAGCACTTGCCTAGCATGCTTGAGGCATAGAGTTTGATTCCTAGTACTGTAAATTTTTTAAAAATTACAAAAAGCAACAGGAAACAGTATCTTGGAGGATATGAAGAGAAATGACTACAGCAGTGGTGGCAAGCCTAATGGCACGCGTGCTACAGCAGGCTGACCAGGAGTCTTTTGAATCTAGAATATACTTACAAGGCCAGCCTGAGCTGCATAGTGAAACTCTGTCTCAAAAAGATAAAAAAGAATGTGCTACAGAAAATTAGTTCTGAGGCAAGTTTTAGTAGTTTGTTTTATCTGCTCGTAGAGCCTGTCTCCCCTGTGGAGTTTCAGAGCTGCAGAGGACCAGTGTCCATATGGCCCCACTCCTTATTTCACAGCCATTGTGACACTTAAACTATCCTGGGAGTGGGAGCAGAGCAGAGATTCGCTGTCACCGGTGCTGTGAGGTCCATTGGGCTCTGCAGAGCAAGCTTTCAGGACTCTGGTCTCAGACGGAAAAACAGTCCCTTGGACTTCTCTCTTCTCTTCTCTCCTCTCACTGGGTCTTTCGCGGTTTTGTTAGTACATGTTTATAGTGTGTGATTACACTCATATGGGGAGTTGATACATGTACATGCCACATCTTAATTCTTTCTTCAATCCCTTCCTCTCCCTCTCCTTTGTCTTCCAGTGAGAAGAGGACTCTGAGCTTCCTTTAGTCCTGGGCATCCTGTAGCGTGGGTCTCCCGACTCCCTGAACCAGCCTCTTACAGTCCCCACAGTGACCTGTAGTCTTTGTTCTTCCAGGTTGACCCCATGCTCACCCCAGAAGAGCGCCACCTGAATAAGATGCAGAACCACGGCTATGAAAACCCCACATACAAGTACCTGGAGCAGATGCAGATCTGAGCGGCAGGAAGCATGCGGCACCCTAGTTAGAAGCTAGGCGGGTAGAAGAATCCAGCATTCCGGATTGACTACAGACCGCCAGTTACCACCAGAAGGTCTCATCGTACATCCTGACCTCCTCGCTCATTAAAACTATAAAGTACTACTGTAGAATTACAATTTCCATTCTTTTAAATGGGTGAAAATTGTTAATATAACAATATATGATATATAAACCTTACGTGAAAAAATGATCTATTGCAGATATCTGAAGGATGTAGTTTTCTTTTTTAAATTAATCAGAAATCCCACTTCTGTTGTATTGTTTCACACCTGCTCTATATAAATGGAAAATGTTGATTTTTAAATGATAGATTGTATATGCAGGCTGTTTGTTCCAGTTACATTGTATAAATCAACTCTAGGCTCATTCACTGTCCTAGTTTTTATTTTAAAAAAAGTGAAAAAGACACAGTATTCCCTTTTTACACTTTGAGAGAGTCACGGAGAAATAAGTGGAATAGGGAACTGTGAATGACCACTGACAGACAGCATGTTACTCTGGCTCAGTGCTGTTACAGGAGCACGCTCGGAAGCCCACTGCTTGTACACTGGCCGTGTCTCCAAGGCGAGTCAGGGCATTTTGTTCTCACATCTTTTAGCGAGCCTGATGCATACAAATGAGGGTGTCCACTGCTGCTTTTCCTCTAAATCCAGTTCTTCCACAGCAGCTCGCCTGTAGTTTGTGTCTGACATTCTTCACCATGTGTTGTTTACTTACAATGGCATTTGCTTTCCACTTCCCCTTCCCACGTATGTCCACGTGTATAGTCTCTTCCTCTCGGGGCGCCTGCCTCCATACCGCTCCGCCTCCCGTCGCCAGCCTCTGCTGTGTGCAGAAGACTAAGAAAGTAAGCAGCTGAGGGCTGGAGGAGCCAGGCTGTCGCTGGGAAGGAGGGTGCTGTCCGCTGTGCACGAAGCTGGATCTATAAACCCTGCAGAAAGCTTTGAAGAGTTTTGTTTCCTTCACACAAGTCTTTGTAATGCTTGTATAGTTGATGTTGTTGCTCACAGCTTTTTGTTTTTTTAATCCTAAAGTTCTGGTAACCAGTGGTGTTTATTTTGGTTTGTTTTTTCTAATTTTCTGTAGCTTTTTTTTTTCCTTCCCTTTTGACCCTATCCATGTCTCTTCCCACTATGCACAGATTAAACTTCACCTACAGACTTCTTAATATGATCTGTGGAGAATGTACAGAGTTTAAACACATAAATAAACACTTTAACTTCCGCCAAGACTCCTTGCTCTGTTGGCGTTGCTCCGTGCTGACGTTTTACGTGTCCAGCCCTTGGGGATGGTGGGTGCCTTCTGCTCCAAAGGGTGACGGCCTGCGCACACAGACTGGGCCGCAGCAGCCCAAGCAGGCCTTCACCTTTCAAGTTCAAATTCTCTCTCCCTTCAAAAAAAGGAAAGTCTGCCAAGGACATTTGTCCTGGAAAGTTGAAATTGAACTATCAGTACTTAGTTGATAGGAGAATTTTCTTAGTGCTCCTGGAAACAAAGAGGAGAGCTGTGGCTGAACTTCGGAAATGTGTTTGCAGCCTCCATCTCTGAGTTGCTTAAACAGCCAGCCACTGGGAGCTGATCTTGTCCTTGAAGGGGTGTTGTGTGCGTTTTTGAGTGAGGTGTCACTGCGTACCGGGCTTCCCTGTAAGAGTTTTCACCAAATCTTTTTTTAAATGACTATTATTTTGCAGTCTGGGGATTGATTCCAGGCTGAGGCCTTGCATATGAGGCAAGTGCTTTCCACTGAGCTGGATCCCTTACCCTTTTTATTTATTTTGAGACAGGCTCTCACGAAATTGCCCAGGCGGGCCTGAGCTCATGATCCTCCTCACTGTGCCCTGTTCACTAAGTTGCTTTTTTTTTTTTGGTGGTACTTACGGTTAAGTCCATTTTTAATATTTTAAAAAATATTTTTATTTTTAAGATAGACCCTCAATCACTGAGTTGCCCAAGCTGGACTCAAAACTTGTGTACCTCTTGCCTCAGCCTCCCAAAGTGCAGGATTACAGGCTTGTGGTGCCATACCCAGCTTGCTCTTTAATGTCCAGCTGCTCAAAGTTCAAGAGCTGCTCTTGGCAGTCCCCACCCTAGTTTCCAGTGGTGCATTAAAACTTACAGTAGTTACCAAGGTCATATCACTTACAGGTGCATGCTGTGTTACACACATGTACCTGCATGAGGGTCTTTGTTGGGACATGGAGAGGGAGTGAGGGTTTTATAAGCTGTGAGCTGGAGACAGGCTGGTTCTTCCCCATTTGCCTCACCCTGCTGTTTGCCCACTTGAAGTTGCTGCTGAGAAAGTTAAGAGGGAACTTTTTAAAGCCAGTTCTGTCAGAGTGCTGTAAAAAGTATTATCACTTTGCTGACAGTCCGCTGGAAAGCAGCTCTAGTGTCCGTGATCTGGCTGCAGATGTAGCAGACTGACCACATGTAATGTAATGGCTGCCAGCTGCTTCACAGCTGTCCATGCCTAGTTTAATCCCCTCTGAAGTGTAGCGGGCACCTGTCACAGTGGCCTCTGGTGGGCCCTCTCCTTCCCTCCCTCCCTCTGTCCTGGAAGATGGCAGGCCTGTCTCCCATACACCAGCTCAGCTGAGGACAGAGTCTGGTTCCTGCACTCCTGTTCAAAGCTGGTGGAATTGTGGCTTCTACTTATTTATTACACCACTGGGGCTTGGGGATAGGTGAGAGTTCAGGTGTTTGAGCAGCTGGGGACCCTGGAACTTCACCCTGACTAGATTTGCGTTGCACTCAACAGATACAGATTCATCTTAATAAAACTTTCCTTACACTGAGGTAGATGTTTATATATGGCAGACATCAAAATTTTTGAGAACTTCAAACTGGTGTTAAACCCATTATGAAGCCCAGATCTCACAGCAATCCTGCTTCAGCCTCCTGAGTGCTGGGATACAGGCAAGCACTACATCTGCCTAGAGAGAAAGGTTGTAAGAAAACATCAGGGAAAGGTATGGCAAGAGCTGCTGTGGCCTCACCCTAGGCTGGCTGCATTCTGCTCCCTGGTGGCACAACTCCTGAGAGAAACTGACTCCTGGTTTCTGCTCATGACACAGCCTTGACCTCAGAACACGGCCCTACCCACCTGCCTCAGGTGCAAAGGTCCCCTCCTACCTGCCTGTCTGCAAACCAGCTCTCCACTGAGAGCAGAGCCAGCCCAGGTGTCCCGTGATCCGCTCTGGTTTCGGTTGCTATGACAACTGATACTCTTACTTTCAGAGACCCAGATTAGGATGCAAGGAGTTTCTAAGATTTTTGGGCCCCCATGGGCCTCCTCTCATAGAAATACACTGTCCTCCCTCTTGGATAGGGAGTTGGGTGCAGACAAAACAGAAGGGCCCTTAGCTCCACCCTCGTTTCAGAGGTGAAACCTGATGGATAGGCGCAGCCAGCAGCAGAGCAGAGTCCAAGGCTGCGGGTACTGGACCCTTTTCTGTGACAGCAGAGACCAGTGTCTGGCCTTGTTACCTGTGCAGTAAGAGAAGGCCTCTTCGTCTGTCCTGTCCCCTGCGAGTACTTAGCTTCGCAGACCTTCGTCACAGACTGCTGGTACATTCCACATACACAAGAAGTGAGTGGCATAAAAGTTTTTCCCTCGAGTCTTTACTTTTGTATTTTAAAGTTTTGTATTTGCACGTATTTGCAGTACACAATGATCACATTCACCGTGTGGCGTTGGTTCATGGACACAATGCATCCTGATGTTTTCCTTCCCCTCCCCCTACCTACACCTTCCCTCTGACTGTTGGTCCCCTTCTCGATTGCAAAACCTCTGCGGCTGCAGCAGGGCTCTAGAGGAGCCTGCTGGAGTTCTGTGGCCAAGGAGGCCAAAATCTGGCTGAACTTAAAATTTTGAAATCAGTGTCCCTTTCTGACTAAACAACACGTCAACACAACACTTTTCATAGATAG